CAAGAACAAAAAAATTAAAATTTTTGTCATGCCTAACCATGGTTAACAGCTTGCTGGAATTTAGAATTTCCATGGAAACAACACTGACTGTATCTGCAAGGCCATGTCTGGAGGAATTTTAACCCTTTAACTCTCTAAGTGTCATCCCCTGAGCTGGGGTTACAGACTGAATAAGAAGCAGAAAGCGATCTTCCGGACCCTGGATTCAGGGTGACCAGCTACGTTCCTGCCACCTTGCCTTAACTGCTGTGACGGGCTGGGCCGTGAGCCACAGCAAGGTGTCCTTCAGTGGCTTGTCAGCATTTATCACAGCAGCAAGGCAGTAATTCAGGGACCTTTATTCTTGCTTTTCTTTTTCTTTCTCCTTTCTCTCTCTTTTCTTATGCTTAATTTCCCTCACATGTTCTCTACTGTTATCGGCCAAACTTAGAAAAGCTGATTATTTTAATTTTCAACAAATGTCCAATTCTATTATTAGACTTCCTTAAACAATCGAGGTGATGGACACTGGACTCTAGTTTTTACTCACGAATTTGGACTTTAACATATTGAAATAAATATAAAATTCTAAACATATGTAATATATATATTGTAGAATTGCTTGGGAATTTTACAGTAATGATTCAGGTCCCAAGGTATTGGATAGAAAACAAACAAAAGCTCCCAAACACTGCCAGCTCCAAGTGTGGATCAAAAATGTCCATTTTATAGGTATTAAAGAGAGTGCTGAGGGTTTTGAACTCTAAGAATCAGAGGTTGATCTCCTGGCCCAGTCAATTCTAAACATAAAGAGGAGCTTTAATCAGGTGAATAGGAAGGGAAGGAGCAATGGGTCTCCATCAGTCTGGTGTGTGAGCACGCATGGTGAGACACAAAGCTCAGGAAAGGGGCTTACAATGCTCAGGATATCAGGGATTCAGGAAGGCTGGCTCCATAGAGTAGCAAAAAGACCTCCCGGTTGTAAGACAACATCCGGTTCAGCCCTCTGGGTGGCTGGGCAACAGTCGCTTTTCTTCCTTGGAAGAAAATAGACCTGAGGGTTTCATAAGTCTGGTTTCTCCAATGCTTTAAGCTGTGCCTCCCACATTTTCCTGTCTATTCTTATAAAGGACCCCAGGATGGCTTCTCAGTTAACAGTGTCTGCTGTGGGTTAGATGTAGCCACAGGCTTACAGTGATTTAAGGAAGGAGGCTTAACCCTTCTCCCCCTGCCCTGCTGGATCACTGCTACGGAGCTGTCTATCTCCAGAGACTGGCTCATGGGCGAAGGACAGAGTGCTTGCCCTCATGGGACTTCCACCTCAGCTGGGAAGACACCGTGTAAACAATGGGTACTCTAATTCTGGGTGTACAGAATGTCAGAATGGCCTAAATTCTGGGGAAAGCAAAGCAGTAGAGCAGAGAAAGGAGGATTATGCACGGCAGCAAATACAAAAACTAGGAACTCTGATGCAAAGGCTTGCTATCATTAGCAGTTAACTGTAGCATCGTGCTTACTGTGTGCCAGGCACTGTTCTAGGAGTTTTACGTGCCTCAATTAATCCCTAGACAATACGATGGAAGCTGGAGGAATGCTTGAGGGATTAAAGCAGAAAAGAAAACAAGTGTAGACTGATTAAGTCTGTCTTGTGCTCTTCTGGATGCACATGCTCTTCTGGATGCACATCCATGCTGTTGTTCTTGTTGCCCTGATAGTTGGTGTGATTTAAAGAAGGAGCTGTGAAGATGAGTATGAACACTTGAAAAGGGAGCTGTGGTTCTTTCCCGCGCAGTCCTTTAAGTGTGCTACTTTTCTTGTTGTTTCCATTTATTTTGTGTGTGTGTATATGTCTGTCATGCGTGTGTATGCACACGTGTGTGCAAAGATGTGCAAGCCTATGCGTGCACACTGAAAGAAGAAAGGTTTGGGTGTTCTCTTCTAGTGCCCTCTGCTTATTTCTTTGAGGCAGGTCCTTATTGGACCTGGGTCTTGGGTCTTCTTGGCCAGGCTAAAAGCCAGCAAAGTCTACTTCTGTCCCTGCCCCTACTTAGAGCCAGGGTTACAGGCTTTTGTGGAAATGCCAAGCTTGCTATGTAGGTGCTGAGATCCAAACTCCTATGCTCATTGCAAAGCAACCACTCTTAACCATTGAGCCAATCCTCCAGTCCCTAAGTTCAATGCTTCTTTAATTGTGTTTACATACACTTTATTAAAACAAAGATGCTGGAAGAAACACAATGAGGTCTTGGGCCTTCAGAGGTCACACCCTGAGTAGGAGAGATAGTAGAAATGCATACCTCCCACTTATTAAAGAAAGTGAATCCCCTTACCTCTGCTTCCCTCTATTGTCACCAGGTTCTTTTGTTCCTCGTTCCTGGTTGCCCAGACCCGAATAATCATACAGAAACTACATTAATCACAACACTGTGTGACCAATAATTTAGGCATATTTCTGGCTCACTCTTATATCTTAAAATCAACCCACTTCTATTAATCTGTGTATTGGCTTACCGGTAAAGTTCCACTGTGTCCTTCTCCTTCAGTAGCTACATGGCGTCTCTCTGACTCTGCCTACTCTCTATTTCCTGCCTGGCTTTACTCTGCCCTGTCATAGACCAAAGCAACTTTATTCATTAACCAACAAGAGCAATACATATACAGAAGGACATCCCACATATCACTCAGTGCCTCCCTCATGTGGGAATAACAATCACTACTTTTTCCGGCTTTCTTCATGCAAGGACCCTTGCAGTCCTGCACAGGCAACTCCACAGGGTCCAGCTCAAGCCAGTGCTCCCCCTTTGTACCATCCCTACACCTGGGCAGTGCCACCATTTCCCTTAAGAACAACCCTCACTCCTTTTCCACCTGATGGATCCCTATCCTTTAAGGTTTCCATGAAATGGAACTCCCAGGACACTAACTCGATAATCCCATTAATCCTTTATTGAAACCAGGCTCTGGTAGTAAAGGGGTTAGGTTTACTGTATAGGCCCAGCACCTATCCGCATCTGGGGATACCAGTGTCTGTTGCTGAGTTCCATTCTTCTATAATCAGGAGGGGAGCAGCAGTAGTTTGGCATAGTGTGGTTGTGATGACTAAGTGCATTGAATGGTATTCATAGGCTCCTCAGAACACTGCTGGTCTCTCAGGAAACAACAACAACAACAACAACCACAACAACAACTACAACCCCAATCTGTGCTAATCCGCATTGTCATTTTCACCCCAGGAAGAGCTGCAGGCATCTGCAGAAGACCTAGAGTGAGTTCACTTTTCTCTTTCTCTCTCTGCAGGAGGAGTAGACCCAGCATCTCTTCTCCCGCTCATCAGCGCTGGATGTTGTTTCATCTGACAAATGAGACAAGGGAAATGGATGGTTCTAGCAGACTAATGGCGGTATTGAATTTCAAAACTCGAGAACAACTGATAAGCATCTGGCAAAAGATTCGATAGAAAATGTTCACCGTAGACCTTTGTGATAGGAAAGACACACATGAGTAGAAAATGAAAATACTCCTAGCTAAAAAAAGCTTTGAAGTGTTGGTGATATGTGAATATATAGTGTACATATAATAAAAATATCACGTAAAGCAAAAACGCATCCTACGTATGTAATTTTAATTAAATATGATTAGAAATTACTATATGTGGAGGTATGATATTTTATTTATGAATGAATCACTACCTATGTAACTAGTTTTGTATTTTTGAGTTAATTTGCATCTCTATTTTTTGGAATATAGATCATGCAAATTGTAAATCTTCATTTATAAATCTCTTACTTATAAACCTTTTTCTTCTTAAGAGGAAAAACTTAGGTCAACCACCTGAAAGAAACAGGCCTGGACAGGTCTGGGTATATGTGATATATAATTTTTTTAATGGTTATTTTCAGTTGCCTGGAGCAAACTATGAATCCAAGTTCTTTTTCTGAATTTTCAATTACAGTATCTAAGAACTCATTACATTTGTCGGTTCCGTGTTACCTTTAAAGCAATAGATTCATATGCTCTGCCAATCTGTAAAGGTCTGCTTGATGACTGTGTAGCATTGACAGTTAGTGGTCCAGAAAGCAGGTCTGTGATAAAGGGTCAGAGAGACCAAAGTGATATCAAATTTATAGTCGCCCAGAGAGACGGACCTGTTTTCACAGGGAAGATCACACTACACTGGCAAGGTGGAAATTAGTCTCATAACTTTTAATTGATAGTTTTGTTTTATTTTGTTTTTAGCTTTTTTTCCCCCACAGGAAACATACTAGAATAAAATATATGAATTTAGGCATTTTATTAAGATATCCTTGTTTTCTGGACTATGTGTGTGAAGGTCAGGGGGAAGAAGAAACTTTTTATCTCTTGCATTCAGAAATTTGACGCCTTGTCCTCAAGTGTTGGTTCAGAAATATTTCAGAAGTAGACTTTCCCCACACTGTCCCCCTAGACACTGCCTTTGAAATTCTAAGGTTCCTGCTAGAGTCCCAATATTATATACTCAGCACTTATCAGTAATGGTGATGATGTTTATTCCAAACATATAAAGCCTAGATACATACTACAATAATATAATAATTAATTTTCATGAACTTCTGATGACTCTTGGAATAGAGAATACACTTTTCACACAAGCATCTGGAGAGTTTCACAAATAGCCCGAATGAGTTTTCTTTGGGTTGAGGAACTGGGCTCTGGTGATAAAAGATAGAAAGACAGGAAATTCAGAAGATACAGGTAGGGGACAGCCTTAGTCAGGGTTTCTATTGTTGTGAAGAGACACCACAACCATAGCAACTCTTATAAAGTAATACATTTAATTGTGGTGGCTTACATTTCCAGAGGTTTAGTCCATCATCGTCATCTTGGGACTTGGTGGCATGCAGGCAGACATGATGCTGGAGAAAGAGCTGAGATTCCCACAGCTTGACCTTCAAGCAACAGGAAGTGGTCTGAGACACTGGGTGTGGCTTGAACATATATGAGACCTCAAAGCCCTCCCCCACAGTGACATATTTCCTCCAATAAGGCCTCTCGACTCCAACAAAGCCACACCTCTTATTAGTGCCCCTCCCTTTGGAGGCCATTTTCTTTCAAACCATTACAGGAATAATTCACCTCGACCTCAAGGTGTAATTTCTGCTTTTCACTGTTTGGGAGTCAAGTTTTAATACAACCATCTTTAACAAGAGGAGCACAACGGCCCACAAATTGCTTAAGGACAACACATATGTGACCTCTGAGGACACATGTGACATATGTGACCTCTGAGGACAGCCGTCCGTGCTCACCTCTCATCCCTAAGCCTGAACGGTGTGCATCCTATAAACATCCCTGTCAGTTCATTCACAAAGGAAATTCTTGAAGAGAAACGAGTAACCACTTCATAAAATTTTACTTAATTTTTGAACTGCTTTATTAAATTTTCAAGACGATTGAGCAATGTAACTTCAAAACCACAAAATACACGTGTAGACACACTCACACAATAAATTCTCTCTCACACACACATTCTCTTGCAGTCCCGGACTTTGGACCTAGGATCTACTACATGCTAGAGAGATGCTTTATTTCTAAGACACACTCCCACTCTTTTCAGTGTGGTTTTTATTTTGAGACAGGGTCTCCCATCTGGGAACTTATTCTACAGCCCATGCGTGCTTTGAACTTAGACCCTCTTTCCCTTCTAGCCCATGGTGGCCTCAATCTCATGGCAATCCTCCCTTCTGCCTCAGCTGCCTTAATTCTGGGCATATTTTCCACAAAGCCCAATTGTAGGCACTCTTATCTCCAGACGTGCCCCATGGATACGCTCTGAGAAGAACACTTCTCTAACACACCAGCAGCCGCATCTACCAGCCCAGCCACTTTAAGGGACTGTAAATTGTCATTCCAGCTTTATAATTTTATAGATAATTAAGGGGCAGGCACTATGCCTATTCAATTGGGTAGATAAGACAGAGAGAGTAGGCCCCTGGTGGTGTTTAATTCGCGAAAGGAGAGGCAAACTCCGTTGAAAAACACCCTTGAGGTTGGTTGATTTGGCTACAGAGATGCCCTTGGTGAGACGTATATGATGGCGTTTGAGCAGTTCCTCTTACGATTCAGGGGAAGTAGCGCCTGTCACATGCTCTGTGGAGCGTTTATTAGGCTGTGCTCCCTTCAAGAAGGCCTCACTCTGGAGTTTTGAGATAATTCTAGGAACACCGTCTGATTCTACAGTGAGATGACTAAGATCCCTGTGTTACTTCTGTCATATATATAAAGTATTACGGTAAGACTTCGGGCCTGAATAATTGATTTTAATCGCCAGTTAGAAGCCACACATATAGAAGATCCCTCTGAAGACATTGGATATATTTTCTACCAAAAATTACTTTTGAATTTTCAAAGAAAAGAGAAAGTTTTCTTCTTCTTCATGATTTTGATTGATAATCAAGGGCTTTTCGCACTAGTTCTGGCATGCAGGAACATTTATCAATAAAAGGTAAAAAGTCAGGTGGAATCCAAGTCCCCGTGGGCCATCTGGTGTCACAACCTGAGTGATTCTGCAGTGAGCACACATGAAAGTTTCTACTTTTGGGGGGAAAAGAAACACAAACGCCCCTCCACCAGGGGCGGGGGAGGTGCCTGGGAATGCACCAATCACAGCGCGCCCTGCTCTATATAAGCCCCCCCCCCGCCCTACCCCCTCCTGCGCTGTTGGTGGTCTTTTACTTTTTCTTACTGGGTTAGTTATTGACTAATTCTTGATTATGTCGGAAACGGCTCCTGCTGCTTCAAGTAGCCTTGTCCCAATTCCTGCCGAGAAACCTCCATCTAAGAGGCGAAGGAAGAAGCCTGGCCTGGCCGCTGCTCGCAAACCCCGGGGTTTCTCGGTTTCCAAGTTGATTCCCGAGGCCCTTTCGACGTCTCAGGAACGGACCGGAATGTCCCTTGCTGCCCTGAAGAAAGCCCTGGCTGCGGCTGGCTATGACGTGGAGAAGAACAACAGCCGGATCAAGCTGGCCCTCAAGAGACTTGTGAATAAGGGGGTCCTGGTGCAGACCAAGGGCACCGGCGCCTCTGGCTCCTTCAAGCTCAGCAAGAAGGCTGCTCCTGAGGTCAAGGGTAAGGTCAAGAAATCTGCTTCTGCCAAGGCGAAGAAGCTGGGCTTGTCCAGGGTCTCGAGATCCCCCAAGAGCAATAAGACCAAGGTTGTCAAGAAGCCGAAGGCCACGCCCACAAAAGCATCCCCCGGCCGACCAAAGACCAAAGGCACCAAGGGTGTGCAGCAGCGGAAAAGCCCTGCCAAAGCGAGGGCAGCCAACCCTAATGGTAGCAAGCCAAAGATGGGCCTGCAGAAGACCGACCTGAGGAAGGCAGCAGCGAAGTGAGCTTCAAAGTCAGTTTTAAAAAACCCAAAGGCTCTTTTAAGAGCCACTTCCATAATTTTTAAAATGGCTAAACACTTTAAACAAAAGTTAATGAAGCCGGGCGGTGGTGGCTCATTCCTTTAATCCCAGCACTCGGGAGGCAGGCAGATTCCGTGAGTTCGAGGCCAACTTGGTCTACAGAGCAAGTTCCAGGGCAGGCTCCAAAGCCACAAAGAACCCAGTCTCAAAAAACAAAACAAAAAGTTAACGAGGTAGACAGTCGCTTTATGTGGATCGGTCTTCTAGCCCCTAGAGTTAAAAGGTTTGGAGGTACCTATTTACAGATTTGGTCGTGTATTTTATGATAATTTCTCATTATCATAAAGGTCATCATAGGCGTATTTCATTCTAGAAACGCCCCCATATCAAGGAAGAAAGTAGAGATGAGTTCACCATTAATCAGTGTCCAGACTGTCAAACCACCACTATGAGCCCAGATGATTGGGAGTCAAGCTAAAGATTATACTTGTTTAAATTGAGTTTAACTTTTAGGATTTCGTGGGAGATGAATGGAAAAGAGCAGCAAGCAGTCTCAAGAACATTGGAAGTTTTTGCAATGTATCAATAAAGATCAATTTTGTTCCATTTTATAGAATGATTTAATACTATTGGTCTAACAGAGTTACAGTTGAAATCTTTTGTATATTTTATGAAAATAACATGTAGGCTTCATGAGATTGACAAGAGCAGTATTAAAAATTAAGGAGCCCTGTTCTTTTAGGGAAATGTTGGGGCTTAAATTCAATGCTCGACATAACAAAAACAGTACTGGGGCAGTCTGGTGTGAAATACTTAAAAAAAAAAATCCTGTTTTTAAAACTTGTGATTTAGCAGTTTTATGCATTAAAGAGTGCCACAAATATTAAACTCATATTCATCTATTCTAGGCCTTGGTTTCAGCAGTGACAAAAAGACCATAGCGGGGAGAGAGATCTCTAGTAAAACTAGAGAGATTGCCTAGTAAAATACACATGCTGTTCTTGAAGACCAGACTTTGGATACCAAAACACAACTACCTGTAACTGCAACTTCCGGGGAAATCCGACGCCCTCTGCTGGCAACTGTACAAACGTGCAACATACACGAACTTAAAACGATAAAACGCCATTCGACAACTATACTGTTCGTGTATAAAAAAGTCGTCCCCAATAAAGAGTATGTAGTCAGGCCTTATTGTATACAGTGAATAATAGCTAAACATTTAATACTTTCAATACCTTCTGTGTAGAACAAGTCCCTTGCCCTTCTTAGATTAACGTTACCCAGCCATGCAACGACAAGCAATTCCCAAAAATTCAGGTTACGATGGGATTCTAATTCCAAGCCTGCTAAATTAACGTATTCAGTAGTAAATTACACTACATAGGCTTTCTGGTTACATTTTTAAAAACATCGCCTTGCTCTTGACACAACTATGTCGAAAAACGTGGATTAACAAGGTTATCGAACACCGTCTGTCGAGTCAGAATTTGCTTAAAGATCGTAAAACGTGCAATAGCTCTTTGCTGAGTTTGTGGGTGGCCCTGAAAAGGGCCTTTTGCGATAGAGGAATAAATGAGGCAAAGCTTAACCACCAAAGCCATAGAGGGTGCGGCCCTGGCGCTTGAGCGCGTAGACCACGTCCATGGCGGTGACGGTCTTGCGCTTGGCGTGCTCCGTGTAGGTGACCGCGTCGCGGATCACGTTCTCCAGGAACACCTTCAGCACCCCGCGGGTCTCCTCGTAGATGAGGCCGGAGATGCGCTTGACTCCGCCACGGCGGGCCAGGCGGCGGATGGCGGGCTTGGTGATGCCCTGGATGTTGTCGCGCAGGACCTTGCGGTGGCGCTTGGCGCCGCCTTTGCCAAGACCTTTACCTCCTTTACCACGACCAGACATGGTTGAACGAACGGAATAAAGCCGAAGCGCCCAAGCGTCCCTTTAAATAGACCTCTGGCGGACCTGATTGAAAACCACAGGCGTTAGGCGGGGTTTTCGAATCAGGCCCTCGAAAGGGGGTGGAGCAAAAAGGATGCGCCATTACAATCTGAAGGTTTTGATTGGCCAGAAAACCCCAGCTATTTTCCGCGCTGTGTCATCACGTACAGATTTCAATCTCGCGGAAAATATTCAATTTTGTTTTTCATTATTTTTGCGCGAAATGAAAGCTTTGTAGGGGATATTACGCAAAGCAGATATCCCCATTTCACGTTTGTTTTTATTTTACTATTAAATTAGTTGATGGTTGCTTTGTGCGGACGCCCGTAAAACATCCAAAACGGTGAATTAAATATGCCTACAACACCCCTTACTGGTAAAGTTTAAGCCTGTTTCTGACGACTTTGTGAAGACAAAACATGGAAAAAAGCCTCTCAAATTGAACCTTCTAATTGTAGACTTCATAGTCCCCATTTCGAGTCAGACACCTAGTGCCTTCTCCCCCCACTCCCCCTTTTTAAAATAAAGACTGTAACAAAAGGATAAACCTATGGTATCGGTTGTCTTTTACCTGCTGTGTCCTTCCGATCCGTCTTGGTTCCGTTTCTGTTTCCCTTTCAACCTTTTTAACCACAGCATGGCCTTCGCAGTTTCTGAAAAGACGTATTTTCTAGATCTGGGAATTACAGTGCAGAGCTAATACTTGATTAAGGTCATTACAAAGCCTACACGGACATGGTGACGCCTGTGATAAGATTAGTGATGTCAGAACAAGGCTAATCTCAATTTTTCAAAAGATAGAAGAGCAGGCAGCATTATGTGTGTGGGTTTATTGTCGGTTTTGGACTTTCAAATATTTTTAACAATGAGGTAAGATAGATGGCTCAGAAATTAAGAGTATTTGATTTGATACTCTCCCAGAGGTCCTAGGTTTGGTTCACAGCACCCACACGGAGGCTCACAACCTCCCAAAACTCCAGGTCCAGGAATCTGACACCCTTTCCTGATTTCCATGGGTGCCACAAGTACAGGCAAAATAATCACGAAGAGAAAATAAAATAAAGTCTGAAATTAAATATCATGGTTATTACACTTCTAAACTAGATAAAGCCTTCTGGCCAAATCAAAAGCCTTTAATTCCTCTTTCTTATTATCCACCCCTACTACAAACACCTTAAACCAGGAGCCCCAGCTAAGTATGAATTTAAAACACATTTTTAAAACATGGAAATATTTCTGATAAGTTCCTAGGATTCTGGTTAATTTAGAAAGGGTACAGCATATTTATTCCTTGCTGAGGGAGACATCAGAGGTCTGCTGCCAGGTAGCACTGGCAGTACCTTCTGTAATTTGGCAAGAAATGGTAACAGCGATCCACCATGGGCTTTTTTGGCTTGGAGATAAGTATTGTAGTGGTTAGGAGCTGGATTAAAATTCCAGCACAGTCATTTGCTAGCTGTTAACCAGAAATTTCAAACAGCAAACTGACTCATCTCCAGGCTCTTATTTTCATAACATTGAAATATAAGCTAATGTTACCAAAAAGCCCTTCCTCATAGAACTCTCCAGAGGAGGAAGCAGTGAGAACAGCCTAGCCTCTAGTATTTATGTAGTTACGTAGAATGTTAATTTGACAAAGCCTCGGGGGAGTGGGGGAGTACTTGCTTGGTTTGATTTTCACTACAGAAAATGAATGATTTTTAGAAAACCTTTGTTCCTGAAAAGATGTTACTCACACTGCAAATTCCTATTCAGGAAAATGGGGAGGGGAGCAGAGAAGCTTTTCCTCAAAACACCATTTTTTTCCCCTCACTCTACATTGGGCAGTTAAGAAACAGCAGGCCTGAGCCATCAGCATGCATGACCAGGCGATGTCCAGTAATATCTAAATGGATGCATATGCCAAAGCACCCATGATTTCTAAAAACTGGCTGCCTGAGTCCTGAGACAGTGCATCAGTGTTCTGTATGCGAAAGAGCTGGGGTTAGTAATGAAAGCACAAACAAGCTATGTTCTAAAACGCTCAGGAAGCTTTGAAATTTCAGGTGTCTGTCTGTCCACACTCCTTTCATGCTTAAAGCTGTTCAGAGTGGCCTAACAGTCATCATTAAATTAAAAAAAAAATAAAGGTAGCATTATGACAAAATTTGGCAGTGCACGTGCAAGATTTCAGTTTGAAATGTGCCCTGGTGTTGCAGCAGAGCAGTACAGAGAGACTGGAAAGAGCAACCTCTCTTTTCTCATTGCAGCACTTGAGAGGAAGTGCTTCTAGGGTGGACCTCCCAGCAGGCGCCAGTCACTGTGGAAGGCACTTAGGAGATCACTGGGCTTCCTGTTTGCCTTCTGTTCACTATACCAGTCTTCCCAGTATCTAGTCATAATCCTGTGTCCTATAATTTTCATGTACTTTCTCTTTAAAAATATCTTCTACACAGACACAGAAACACAGACAAACACACAGAGACAGACACACCTTGCTATTTGTTCTTTTAAGAAAGTTTCTTGTGGCCTCCAACTCACAGTATTGCGGAGACTATGCTGAACCCTGATGTCCCTGCAACCACATCCCAGGTGCTGGGATTACAATTGTGCCTAACATACCTGGTGTTGTTCTGGACAGGAGTTGCTGCTTCCATCAGCCCTAATCCAGCACTTTACCTTAGGGATATGTCCTTGTCCTTAACTTCTTGACAACCAGCTGTGATGTACTGAAATTAACCGCCAGGTGTCAGCCTTCCTCCAACCTACCACGGTAGGTAAACATTTAACCAGAGGTGGAGGAAGATGGGAGATTTGGGACTGGAAGTCTTAATTTTTCAAATGCAGCCCCTAAAATTTTATGAAAAAGGCAGAAACGACCCTAAAAAACACATCAAAATGCAAATACATCATTCGTGCAGCAGTCTAATTATTATAGCATTTTTTACTTAACATTTCCCTCATGGCATTCTGTTATGTACAAAGGGGTATTCAGAGAGAATAAATCACACTGTGTTTCAGCCTAGCTTGCAGATAAACACGTACCCGCAACTCAGATGATAATGTCCTTATATCAAAGGAAAAGTATGTAGCTAGCTATCACAGTGTGGGGTAAGGGAAAAGTATTCTATAAAACACGAAGAAAAAGTGCATGACTGTACCCATATTACAGTAGGTGTAGTTTAAGGCAAGCCTGAGCCACAGAAGGAGTTTGATACTATTCTGGATTATGTGGTGTCCAATTTAAGAAAAAATTAAGCCAAATCAAACAAAAAAAAAGCCAGAATTAGAAGTGATATTAAAGTTCTTAAACTGATATGAGTTAACTACATCCATAAAATGGGCAAGAATATCAATAAAGCTGTGTAGTACAAAATAAAAAATGGCATATTTACCAAATCATGAGTTTATTAGTTGCACATTATTTTGGGCATGATACCGAGGCAATATACCAGATGCTAGAAGAGTTTGTAACACACTGAGGAAATAATAGCTCTAAGTTTATCTATCAGATTCTGCTGTTTTCTTATACCTAGCTTTTATGAACAGAAAATAAGACAAAGGTAAAAAAACAGAAACAAAACAAACAAAACAACAACAACAGCAACAAAAAGCTGAAGTCCCTGCTTAAATTCAGTCTTCATTAAAAAAAACTGTAGCTGTTGGCCTGGGGCACTTGGTCTTTAAGATTGAATATCTAGCAGTCATGTGGGCAAATGTGTAAACTGGGGGACACTGAACACATGTCTTCTGGATGCAGACATGTGCCCACACACATGTTCACATATATGAACACACACGTGAAGGCATATGTGTACTTATACAAACACGAGACAAACACAAGGCTTAACTTTGAAAAATGAACCGATGACCCTTTGTTCTGCAATCTAGCAATTTCTAAGTTGTCTAGTTAGATCACATTTTTTTTTTAAAATGTGCATAACTAGGAATGAGCAGCAGGACCCCAGTAACTCCTGGCATTCTCCAGGACACCTGCCAGTTTCCATTTTACTTTCTTAAGATGAGACAGATTGACATATTTTTGGCTGCCAGGACAGTCAATTGAAGGTTCTGATTCCAGAGGCCTCCGCTTCAAGGACACCAGACAGATTAGCTAAGATTTAAACTGAACTAAAGCCAGAGACCAGAGGACACAGGAGACTGAAACGGTAGCTGAGGGTTGGAGAACTGGAAGCTATTTCTCATCTTGTGGGTCAACCTCAAGGAAAAGAAACTGCAGGAGAGAAGAAAAGAGTCATCTTTGTTCTCCACTCACTTCATGTAACCATTCCAGTCCACGGGGAGCATCAAAGAGCCAGGAAGGCACTCTTACGGCTGCCTGCCTGTCTCTGGAGAGCTGTGAGCTACTGTATTCTTCACTTTCTAAAGTGAAAAACTAAAGAAAAGGGATGTTGGCACAGATAATAATTTCTACTGCATAAAAACATTAGGACTTCCAAGCGGTGTTTATGTTTAGCAGGTGATCAGAGTATAATTTTGAGCTCTTCTTCACAAGTGCGAAGCACAATTTATTACTATAATCACCCATGATGTCTCCTATCAGGACACGGAGAGAGGGTACTTCACATGCCTCGTATCACATATGCATCTGATAGGAATCTCTGAAAACCTGTTCAACACCTTTGTAAATACAAACACACCACAATCATTATGCACACAGACATCTGTATTTTCTCAGAGGGAGCCTCCTTGGGTTGTACAGTGTGTAGCCTTCACAGCTGTATTGAGGACCCACAGAAGACTCTGGCGTCAGAGAAGTCAGGGCTTGGTGACAGAGGAATCACTAGGTAACAGGTGGACACGCTCAACAGACAGTTGATCTTGATTCCAGGACACACGCGCAAAATTCTGGCACAAGTATGAGTGTGCATTCCAGGATGAAGATTCAGAGCTTCTTCAGACGTGAAAAGGAACTGTGTATCCTCAGATTTAGAGAGCCCTTTTAAGAAGTACACACATGGAATCCAGATGGATGGAGAAAGCTGCTGGAGATTCATGAGACCACTTCTGGAGACAGAGGGTGCATCTGGAGCGTTGTTCGGGAACTCAAAGACTTGACTGGGGGAATCATCTTCAGAAAGTGAACAGGGAAAGCTACGAGCAGAGTACCTCAGGCCGTTTCTGTGTATTAGGTCCAACTGTGTTCTAGAACGGAGCAAGTGTGCTTCCTCCAGGTTTTCGGCTGAGTCTCCTCGCTTCATGGGACTGCAGGCTGCAGGTCATTCACACTCCGCTAAGACATAGTCACCCATGGTTTCTTCAGCTGGAGTCGGGATGGGAAATTGGTGAATGAGGTACACACAAAGTAGGGGACAAGGCCCAGTAATACACACTCTCTTACTCAGCATTGTTGTCCTGTGTGTGTGTGTGTGTGTGTGTTCTAAGAGAGAGTCTCACAACCCTTCAACTCCTGGCAATCCTTTTGTTGAGATTAGGGTCACAAACTATCACAGCTGTTTTCCATGGCCTTTCTGGGTGTAATGTGAGCATTTCTTAGAGTGACATCCTAAATCTTTTCATTCTCTGGGGTCCTCTTTAGCTGCATCTACTGGTCATAAGTTCCATTCTACGGTAGATTTGGATTCTGAGACTCACCTAGTGGCTTTCTCAACCTCGACTCCCTGACTCTACCTTAAATAACGTCTGCAAAATCGTAGGTGCCTAGAAGGTTTTCCCTGAGTTAGGAACTTCCAATCTGGGAAAAACAAAACATCCCCAGAGACATTCTGGAACTCTCAAAGCAAAGAACATAGAGAGGGCTGGCTTCCCATAGAAGTCTCATTTTCCACAGAAGTATGCGTCCTGGAGGAAGAGGTACCATGACACTTCCCCCGCGCCCCTACTCACCCGAAGCCTTCCTTTTCCTTAAGATCAGAAACAAAGCCCCAACCAGGAAGAGGACAAAAATGGCGACTCCACTGATGACTCCAATAACCATGGCCGGAGACGGCAAGGGCTCTAAAACGGCAAATGCAAATTCATGCCCACGACTGCCACATACCAGCCCAGAGCAGACCTGTCTCTCAGGCGATCATTTCTACAACAGATGATCTCTGCCCTGCATGCCCATCCTTACCCCAGGCGACAGTGAGGGGCCGGTCGAAGCCTGGATGGTCCACTTGACAGGTGAACCTTGTCTCGTCCCCAGGGGCCACAGCCACGGTCACCTGGCTTTGATAGGTGCCATCCCCATTAGGCAGCACATCCTCGGGGTTGATGGCCATGGCATCCAGAGGCTGGCCGTCCTTCAGCCACCTCATAGTGATATTCTGGGGGGAGAAGTTCAGAGCCCGGCACCTTAGAAAGGCCCCGGCAGAGGTCCAGTGACGAGTCACCTTCACCAAAGGAGGCACTTGAGGGAGAGAGGAAGAAGAGGGGCATCTTTTACCCTGGGCAGGAGGATTGTGGGTAGGAAGAGCACACTCTTCTCAGAAAAGCCAGCTGGAGGAGATGCTTGGTATCCTGACAACGGCTTCAAAAACTGATGCTAATGAAGTGCCACACTGAGAACAGTCGCTTCTGTCTGCTCCCCTGTTTAACACCGGCAGCTGCCCAAGCCCTCTGACCAGGCAGGCAACATTTCTTTCTGTGACACACATTAGGCTTGGACCCCCAGTACATCTGCTTCAGCCTACTAAGCATTCTTGTAGGAAAGGGCCTTTGTAAGTAGGGAGCCATCAATGAGACTGGCTAGTTTTGGGGAATAATCTTTACCTCCTTAAGGATTTTGCTGCTCAGATGGGTTGCCTTATTTGGTATTTTCATCTGATAACTGACGTTTCTGTATTCTTAAAAACATAGTAAATATACACAGGCTTTGTGGCTATGTCAGGGGAAGGGTACTGATGCTCCCTTTTAAGCCACATGCGTGAAGAAACTAAGTTTGTGTTCATAGTTGTGTTATACACCTGAGTATGAATTGAAACCTCCGTCCTATATGGTGGTTCACGTTTTGTAAATCAAGGACTTGGGAAGCTGAGGCAGGAAAATTGCTGTGTCTGTGGCTAGTCTGGCCTAAATAGTGAGATGTAGCCCAGTCTAGACTACAGTGCGGGAGACTATCTAAGCCAGTCTAGACTACAGTGCGAGGGACTATCTAAGCCAGTCTAGACTACAGTGAGGGACTATCTAAACCAGTCTAGACTACAGTGAGGGACTATCTAAGCCAGTCTAGACTACAGTGAGGGACAGTATCTATCTAAAGAACCAAAACAACAACAAACAGATAAACAACAATGATGACAATGAAAAGTCAGGCTGGCATAGGCCGGGTGTGGGTTATGATTGCAATCCTAGAACATGGAACGTTGAGACAGGGCTTTTCTTCGAGTCCGAGCCCAGGCTGGGTTACATATTGAATTAGTCCGTCTGGGCTACAAAGTGAGAGATCTTGTCTAAAGAAAGATAAATGACAGGAAGAAAATGGGAATATGGAAATCTTAGGATTGAGAAAGTATGAGATGGAGAAAGTACTTTCAAAACTCGGGGGATGACCGAAACCTTGACCTGGGACCTTGAATTCCCCTCCACTCCCACTCAAGAGCGTGGGGCCCGGGTATCGGTCCTCATACCTTGCTGCCCCAGAAACCCTGTCCCCAACTCCAGGAACTGTTTCAGGAGCTCAGGACAGTCCCTCTCCAGGTAGTCCTTGTTCTTCCTGGCCCCGAGATTGTGCTCTGTCCACTCCACCTTGGTGGCCCAGGCCCCTGGCTCTGCCGCTCTCCACTCCAGCGTCTTGGGGCAGAATTCGAGGTGGTCTTGCCCATCGTACCCATACTTCCAGAAGCTGCTGGCAGTGTTGTCTTCATGCACCTCACAGCCCAGGATCACCTGCAGGATGTGGGACTCGGACACCACTCCCACCTTAGTGACTGAAAACAAAGAAGGGAGGTTTTGTCCCCACCCTCCCCAAGTATGGAATGATGGGGACAGACAACTGTCACCCTCTTCTGTGCCCTTCCCCAGGGTCTCACACCCACCGGTGTCTACTTCAAGATGTATCCCCAAGGTAGCAAAACAGGGCTGATCTCGTTCTGACTGCCATGGTGGGGTGACTCCCCTCTTCACATACCTTTACTGTGGTTATAGTTGTCTATGATAGTCCAGAAGTCCACAATGAACATATATTCCCAGCCTTTCAGGCTCTGACTCAGCTGCAGCCACAGCTGGCTTGAGGTTTGATCCAAGACCCACGGGGCCCGGGGCTCCGCACGGCGACTCTCGTGATTGTAGGACACGAAGAGTTGATCATCCACATAGCCCAGAGCCTCAAACAAGGGCAGCCCAAGGTCTGGCTCAGAGGCACCCATGAAGAAGTAGTATAGAGAATGGGACCCTGGGGAAGTAAGCAAGCCGGCTTTCAGAATGGGCAGCAAGCAGGATCAGGAGGCAGAGGTTCCGTAGCCCTGCGTCAGCCCCTGCCCGCTAGGAGCTGAGCGAGGCCTCCTTGTGGAGTGATACAGTTTCCTTCCCAGCACAACCCTAGCTGCTCTGGCCTTCTGCTTTTACTCTGCCCATCTTGATGTCCCCCCCCACTTGAGTAGAGTGGGGAACCCAGGTTCTGGAAAGTCCTTTGGTTTCTGCAACTGTGGGGGGCCAATCTAGGGAGGTGCTGCTGGATTTGTAAAGATGAAAGCCCTAATGAGTGGGAGGTAGTGAGTTTTCTCTGCTTCCATGCCTGTACATTTCCGTGTGGAGATGTTGGCCGAAAAACACTGGGGACTGTGTTGACACTGAGCTCAGGACAGCCTGTCAGCAAACAGAAGGGGTTCCAGGAAAAGGAACTGACTCACCGTGGGGCTTTCCCCACTTTCTCTCAGTTCCAGAGCAGGCTTGATCAAGGTTGCAATCTTAGTACTGAGAATGGCACCTGGCATGGGGTCAGCTCATCACAAATGCTTGTTGGCCTGGAGTAGGTGGCTCACTCACACTTCTAACCCTAACATTCTGGAGACTGAGGCAGGAGAATTGTCTCAGCTTTGAGGCCATCCTGGTGTGCACAGGTGAATTCCAGGCCATCCTGAACTACATAGGGAGACACCCCCACGGCAGGGGTGTGTGTGGAAATAAAGCAAGGTCAGATTTAAGTTTGTTTGCTTGTTTGTTTTTCAGTCTGAGGAAAGATCTAGGCTGAGAGTCAGCGAACTAGCAATAACTGCTGCTTCCCAGTACATAATTAGTCAAAAAGGATCACAGATTCAAATGTTTTTAAAGGGTATTAAGTAGTACTTTGGCATTCTTTAGAAAAAGTCTGCTAATCTTTTGCTAATTTGCAATTCAGCAAAGTCCAGCTGAACAAGGGCCTCTAGCAGAGTGCTTCTCAATCTGCGGCCAAGACTCCTTGGGGTCGAGCTCTCTTTTCACAGGAATCGAATAGCAAATATTCTCCCTATCAGATGTTTACATCATGATTCATAGCAGTAGCAAAATTATAGTGAAGAAGTAGCGATGAAAATAATTTTGTGGCTGGGCGTTCGTGACACACTCCTTTAATCCCAGCACTCAGGAGGTGGAGGCAGGCGCATCTCTGTGAGTTCCAGCCTGGTCTACAAGGGCGAGTTCCAGGACAGCGAGCACAGTTACACAGAGAAAGTCTGTTTCGAAAAAGAAAAACAAACAATAATGATGCAATGATGATGATGATGATGATGATGATGATGATTTTGTGGCTGGGGGTCACTACAACCTGAGGAATGGTATTTAAGCGTAGCAACATTAGGAAGGCTGAAAACCATTGCTCTGGTCCTGCAGGTGTCCAGAAAGTGACTCTGACCCCTCACCCTCAGTGAGTGAGAGGGTGTGGAAGCCTAGCTCTCAGCTGCCTTCCTGTCACCAGACTCCTACTGAGCTCTTTTCTTAGCCTATCTCACCTGCTCCCAAGTCTTACGACACGAAGATCTTATTGTCCCAAACCTGAAGTAATACAGGAATATAACAGCCTCAGGACAGGAATGCCCCCACACACCCACCCTGCCCCCACATGAGGGTAATTAATTATCTTATGACGTCAAGGCAGCACACCAAGGCAGAAAAAAATGTTGCATAGTATCCTAACAATGAACAATGTATGGACTCCGTTGTAGGATGCAGAGCTGTTCATCCAAAGGAATCTTTTGCTTTCTGGTTAAACCTAAGTGTCGTGTCAGGACCTTGAAGATGGACTCATTTTGGGCCACTGATCTCCCCAATATGACCACAATGAATAGATCTGTTCCGTCATCGCTGGACTTCTTAATTGGGAAGTCGCTATCAGTCAACCGGAAGGGCTGCCAGAACCCTGGCTTCTGCCCTGAAATCTTTGTTTACATTATTACACCCATTTGTTAAAAAAACAAACAAACAAACAAAAAAACAAAAAAAAAACAAAAAAAACCAAAGCAACCTTTCAAGATGAAAGAACAATTTCCAAGCGAGAGGAAATGTCCTCCGTGCCTGCCACTCCAAGTGACCTTCACCTCCTCTCACCAAAATGTAATACAGGGGGGTGCCACCCAGCACCTCCAGCGCTCACAGGGCAAACAGGAGTCTTTCTCCTCCTCGGAAGAGAAACCGCCAAAGGGACAACTGTAGTCGCTCTTGGTGAGAAACTTCAGATCCCGGGTGAGTAGGCGAAGTAGGACAGCGCAACTCACAGTTACAACAAACCGCAGGCTCAGCTCTATCAACGTGGCTCCTCACCTTTGCTTAGACTGGCAA